ATTCTTAAAAAGTACTTTAAACTGTATAAATACAATTGAAAGCGATTGACCAATCAGAAGAAAGTTATCCTATATATCATAACCAAACCAAATTTGATGTGTTATATAGTGGTAATAAAACTAATATGTCGAATCCTAAAGAAGTTTATTATGAGAAAACTCAAATGGATATGATGTTTTGTGGCCAGGACTAGCTGATGAGTAACATATTAAATAATGGCAATCAAATTGAATATAGAACTGATATTTTAGATTTTCATAATACTTGCTAAAAGAAAGCTTAAGGAAATATGACTTTTTTTAACTGGTACAATACGATAAATGAAATTAATATGCAATATACAAATAATCAAGTTGAATATGACATCAGTAGCCACAACAGTGTTGATGAAAACAATTTAATACCAGATTCCGAAGGCATTTTTCATGAACAATTTTGTGATCTAGATGCATTGAGTAGAATTAACATTAGTTGTGATGTGTTATATAATCATGATCAGTTTGAATATGAAAACAATACCGGAGATACTTACTATAAGGAAGTTTATAAGAATATGGTGTTTTGCGAGTGGGATAATACTATGAATGAATATATCATTAATAACAATATGGATCAAACTGAGTATGAAACAAATAATATGGAAAGCACTGAAGGTAATAAGTATGAAGAATTATAAGAAGGCTCGATATTTTGTAATTGGAATCATATGATGAAAGAAATTAAAAAGTATAAAAAAATGCAAGGATTTAGAAAATATTGTTATCGTGCAGAAAAAGTTAAAAGTGGTAATGTCAGAAGACGTACAGTAGTTTGTAAACATTATGGACAATTTGAAGTAACAAAATCTAAGGATCCAAAGAAGGAGATTACGTCTAAATGTGTTGGATGCATATGGCAAATAAATTTGTCGTGCCCAGAAAAAGAGAATCCGCATAAACTTATATACGTTATCAAATTAGTTAATGAACATAAGAACTATGATCTTAATAAAGCACTTTATAATTTTAGAGAAAACATAGAGTTTACTCCAGCCATGATTGATGATGTTAATTTTTTTGTGAAAAAATGAATTGTACTCCACAGCAAATTTACAAGGCTCTAGAGAACAAATATTTTACCAAAGTATATATACCAGTATTATAATGGGTAATTCAACAATTTCACCTCAAGTTACATAATATGTCCAATGATGCTAGTCGGCTATATGAAGAATTATTAAAAAAAAAGAAAGTTGATCCTTGGTAGTATATCTAAGTAGATTGGGATCCTAATAGCAAGTGCCTTTGTTGATTATTCTATATATTTTCAGATCAAATTAAACGATGCCTAAAGTTCTCTGACGTTGTTTTGAATAATAATATAAGTGCAACTAATCATTATGAAATAGCACTATCATTGTTTTTGGTGGTTGATAATCATTTGTCCTCTCGATTAGTTGTTCAAGCACTGATAGATGACGAAACAAGAGAGGCATATAATTGGATACTACAGCAAATTAAGAATGCAATGAATGGAGCTTTGCTACAAGTTATTTTTACTGATGCTGACTCTGCTTTAGTTGCCACAATTCAAGATAAATTTTCAAATATGAAGACACTTCATTGCATGTTTTATATTGTACATAATATTACATTCAATCTAAAAAATAGTCTCAAAGATCGTTATAGTGAATTTATTAAAGACTTTTTTGAAGTACAATGAATTGGCTTTGTTGCAATTTTTGAACATTGGTGGAAATGTCTTCTCAAAAAGTATAATAATGAGAATGTAGTTAGTTATTTACAATGATTTTATAGTAGCAAAGAGTCATGGGCAAATGCGTTTATACTTAAATTTTTTACAGCAGGGATGTCATCAACTTCTTGAGTTAAAAGCTATAACTCAAAAGTTAAAAAATTAATTTTTAATTCCAATACATTATTGTTAGAACTCATAGAAAAACTAACAGTTTGTATTCATGAAGAAGATAAAAAAACGGAATATACTCTGTTTCATGCATCAGTTCTAAAAACTGCCTTAGTTGCTACAGCTAACACTATACTTCCAAATGTTTGTAGAATATTATACAAATACTTAACTGTGAAAATCTTAAAAATTCAAGAAGATCAAATTAAACAATCACTTCAATATCATGCAACAATAATAATACCAAATAAAATGCAAAGATATCTTTTAGTAAGTAAAGAGATAAGGAGATAACTATACATATAAATTTTGTGCCTGGTTTGTAGTGGAAATTTGTAGTTAACAGCCCCTTTTTTTAAGGACCATCATAGTTAGGATTAGTTTAGACTAAGGTTAGGTTTGGTTATTTATATGGTAAAATCGCTTAAAGAAAACTGTTCGTTAAAGCGTTCTTTGAGAAATTTTTTGATCGCATTGCATTACACTGATTTTTAAAATCTGGTTTGCAGATTTATACGTATATACATATATACTAATCTTATACTTTTAAATTGCAGATCGATCTTGACGATCCTGCCTTATTTTTACATCAAAATCTTACTGATATTACTGTCAGAGCAATGCTTAATTTTGTAGATAAAGATAAAATTGTGGAAATGTGGAGAGTTCGGCCAGTTACATCAAATGATATATGGCATTTTATAATACTTTTGAATGATGGAATCCATTTATGCTCTTGCTTTGACCATTGTAACTGTGGAGTTGTTTGCTACCATTTTTTTCATATAATGCTATGTACCGAAATATGGCATTCCATATTCAGCTAATACGATCACGTTGGTTTAATGAAAATAGTAATAATCCAAGGCAAAAACAATTTATAGTTGCACCAAAGTTTGAAATCGAACAACCAATGATGATAAATAGAGATGGCCAAGTTCTATACCTTAATGCTTTAACTCAAGGTTCTATATGTGAAGTACAAGATATAAATAGTAAAACAATATATGAACGTAAATTATATAGAGAGGTATGGGGTAAAGCAAGGGCAGCTTTAATGGTAGCAGTTTGAAGGCATAACTATAATTTTATTACTATTCTTGACAAATACATAGAAGACTGTTGTGAAGAACCGGAAGAGCCATCCTTCGATAATGAAAGTGATATGTCTTCAAATGACGAAGGTGAAGTAGACAGTGAAACAGTAGAAAAAAATCTGAATCCCAAAGAACTGATGAATCCTTATAAGTGTAAAGGAAAAGATCGGCCAAAAGGAACAGATAGAATACGACGTACAAATAAGGCACCCAAAAAAGCAAAACGTAAATTATATTGTAAAATTTGTGGGGGTACTGGTTATAACCGAGCAACTTGTTCATAAAGACATAAATAGTAGTTTATTATTAGTAATTATTAAGTTTCTTATATGGAAGGATTAATTGTTGGTATTAGCAACTTGGTATGTACTACATTATGATGTTAAATGTTGTATGAATGATATTAAGAAAACCAGAAATCTAATTATACAGTTTATAATCATTTCTGGTTTTTCTTATATCATTAAAATATATGCAAAACTAGATCGATTTAAATATTAAATTGTCAAAATGTTTTTGAAATTCAAATATATAAGATAAAAGAGGTATGATAGGCGGAAATGGGTAAAACAGTGATTGCTATTTTACCCATTTCACAATACTATGTCCTTTATCTTATGCTCTTTAATTTAATAGTGAAAATTTTAAACTAATTATTCATTTGGATTCTACATATATAGTATGCACTCATGTAACAAACCAAATAAGTTGTGGTGTCTGAATTCGGTTCTACAGGCTTGCATAAAACAAAACCAATTTGCATATTGGTAGATTAACATTTAAACCAGTTTTATTTTCGCACATATTAAACCTGATTTTAATTGAAAAAATAAAACTGGTTTTCAAACTTACTATATTACGTATTATTTTTTGATTGTAATACATACATATTAGCTGCTTTATATATTATCTTTTTAGTGTTATAGTACTAACCAGTTTAATTTTATTATACAATTTATATATAGTATTATAAATATGATACATAGTGTATAAATTGTAAACAGATTTGTATCTTATATTACCCTAGCACTATAGTGTTATAACACTATAAAATTATTCCCAAAATTTAATTATATAAATCAATTATGTATATTAAGTAAAGTTTGTTCTAGAGATCAAAATGAATATATTTTAAAAATTTTATATAAATCAGTTAACTTTTTATTAATTAACTTTTGTTTTTTATGTTTAATAAATAGAAATTTTAAAAAAATTTTAAATTTTTTATTAATTATAATATGTAAAAATAAATTAATAAAAAATTATTCAATTTGGATAAAACTTTTAAAATATATATTTTTTATTCTTCTGAATAACTTTTACTTAATAAGATATATTAATTTATTTAGTAAAATTTTAACTTTACTATAGAATAACTATTAATAATTATATACATATTAATATTAGACTATATAATATTTACTTAAATTTGATTACTAGTTAGTATCAAGTGGGTGAAAAAAGTTACTCTTTTAAGAGGTAGAAATCACCTGATAAATATCTATATCCTAATAAGTTGTCTTGTGATATTTCGATTCTTTGATGTTTTGTTAATAACCTATTTTGTGATATTTCTTCTAATCTTTTAACATTAGCTAATGAATTGTTTTGTATTATTTCTTTTATTCTTTCAGCATTTCACTGATGAATTGTCTTGTGGTAGTTCTTTGTTTTTTAACATTTGCTGATAAATTGTCTTGTGATATTTTTTGACTTTTTGATGTTTTACTGGTGAATTGTCTTATATTATTTCTTCTGGTTCTTTACTGTTTGCTGTAAATTGTCTTATTGTAATTCTTCTGATTCTTTGACATTTTGCTAATAAATTATTTAGTAACATTTTTCTTATCTTTTGACATTTTGCTAATAAGTTGTCTTGTGACATTTCTTCTAATTCTTTAGCAGTTTGCTAATGAATTGTCTTATGATATTTTTTTTGATCTTTTGATATTTGCTAGTGAATTGTTTTGTGATTACTTCTTTGGGTAGTTTTATACTACTCTTTTTTTTTTTTTTGTATAATTTTTTTAGTATTTTTTTTCTGATAATCTTTTTCTGTTTCTTTAACATTTTATTAACAAATTGTTTTATGATATTTTTTTAATCTTTTGGTGTTTACTGATAAATTGTCTTGTGTTATTACTTTTGTTTTTCAACATTTCGCTAGTGAATTGTTTTGTGGTAGTTTTTTTGCCCACCTATTCTATAGAATGTTCAAATAGGAAATCCATAGGCAAATCTTAAGTATAGCATATAGAGGATAACTATAATAGTATAATAAAGTCCTTAAATAGGTAATAACTAAAGTTGTATACGTGTTTATATATTCTTGTCAGAATGTACTATGTCTGAAATCCATTGAGGCTTCAGTAATCCCTAGTGTATCTAATAAAATGATAAGCCAAAAAAGCTAACCTTGATTATAAAAAAAAATAAAATAAAATACCATCAGTTTTATATATAATTTATAAATTATATTCTCTACTCCTAATATATTTACTATCATTAAAATTAGAAATATCTACATAATAGTTAAATTAATTTACTCAATAAAATTTTTCATAAAATTAAATATAAAATAAATTTGCTATTAAGTTTATATATAATTTTAAAATAGTACCCTCTACCCTTAAGCACTATTAGCATTAGTAACAATCTAATTGGTGGATCTGTACGTACGTACGTACATAGAACTTTTTTTTTTCAGAAATAAATAGCGACAGGTGAGTTTTAAGTTTTTATTCGAGGAAACCATGGGGACGATGCGTTCTAAAAAGTTAGATGCATAAACGCTGAAGCAAAATTGTACCATTTAAACACATTCAACGTGACCATAAAACATCAAAGTATTGCCAATATCATTGAGTGTCAATCCAAAAAATTCATTTTTTATGGTCATCGAAAAGCTTTTATCATCAGAAACTACTGCTATTTGTAAGAGATAAGCCACAAAGTATATACACCTTTGAATCTTTTGATATCGAAATCAGTATCGCAGACATTCTGGTATAAAAGTTATTATTTGTTCCAAGATAAGTAGTCACCTCAAATTTATCGTATAACAATTGATGGCCATGAATAATTGGAATAATGATATAATTTATTTGCATATAAGAAAATATTGTAAGTTCATATATATACTTAAAATTTACATATATATATGTATATATTGAATACAACAAAATCTTACATGTAATTTATATAGTATTAATGTATTTAAAAGCTTAAAAAATTGATGAAAGATATGAATCCAAAGAATGTCCAAACCTTAGATGAAACAAATTGGAATTTGCGATATATCCTAAGATTATTCGCGTGGTGATCCTGGAGCACTCACTGCAGGAGTGATGGGATAAATTCCAAAACTGAGGGGACGTTTACATTCCATGGTCTTTGGGTCCATTAATCTTAAAGTTTCACGAAATCTAGTAACCTCACTCTGATTTTCAGCATTCCTAAATGCCTCCGGATTTGATATATCTGGTCCTGATATAGCTTGAATATGAGTTAGCAAAAGAGTACTCCAGCGTTTAAAAATGTCCTCAGCTATAAAAAGGTTGTAATCAATAAGCTTGAGAAAGCAAACTTCATTTGCATTAATCTCCTTAATAGAAAGACCAGATATTTTAGACCAAGCACGATTGGAATAATTGCGATCTTGAAGATACTTTGATGCAACAATCAGAGCAGCTAAAAACATACGCCGACCACAGGTTGCAGGATCATTATTTTGACATGAATTTTGGATCACATCTGGAGGATGTTCGGAAGTTGGTGTAGGAGGCAATTCGGGGCGTTGAGATAATAAAGCGATTTTATGTTTAATTCTAAACAAATAGAATAATGCTGTTTGGAGTGTTGAATAAGAGGCGCGAGAACGTCTCAAAGTTTCCTGAAGAAACACACGTAAAGTAATAATTTTCGCATTCGGGCTAATGGCAAAATTTGCCCAAATTACCTCCATAATAAGGCCAGCAGTGTCTAAAATAAGAATAATATTACAAGATATTTTTAAGATTAAATAAATAGGTAAGAATGAAAATCTACCACTTACCGACTAGATTTTCAACAAAAGCAGCCTTTCTATGTTTTTCACTTATCAAAGATGGAATTATATTGAGAATAGAAAATTCTTGATTAACGTTTTCTAGAGCATCAGGATGATTGGTAACCGTTGAAGGATCATGAACGGTATTAGCCGTATTGGCAGGAACCATAAAAGCATTGTTAGGATCAGTGGTTGACATATGCGAATCATGATAATCCTTATCATCAGACACCTTGTCGACGCATTCCGAGAAATTATTGACAGTTTTGTGTTGAGAAGTCAAATGGAGCTCAGGAGACTTAACTAAAAAAGAAACTGTAGTAGCAGAACGTGCCGATTGTAAAGCCTTATCCGGAATTCCAGACTGAGAAGGACTCGAAGAGGATTTTGAACTTTGTAAAGCCTTACTTTGCAAAGCTTTAGAATTCCTACAAGACCGACGCCCGAAATATGAAGGAGCGTGACAGGTGGGAAGCGAGATAGTAGAACTCTGAGGCCGTAGCTTTTCTTGCATGTCTATGACATGTTTGCTCTGTTGTTGAGTCGATTGCTGCGGCGAGATACTTTGTAACTGGAAACTACACTCATTTAATTTTCTACGTTTTTGAGAAAATGGTTGAAGTTGTTGGTGCTGTTGTTCTATCTGTTGAAAATGATAACTTCTTTTCAAAACATTCTCCATTGACTGTAGCTGCAAGGCCACAGTCAAAGAGTTGCACTTCTCGCTCGAATAGTCTACCACATTTTGAATGCTCATGTTTACAATCACCTTGTCGAAATATCATCAAGAATTATTTTATTCAAAGGCTTTACACCAAAAATAGCATTTCTTAGGAAAGAGATTTATTTTGAGAATAAAGGTTAGATAAGAGGAAATGAAGTTGGAATACGCAGTACGTAGTAATTAAGTTAAAACTTCAAAAAAAAAATGGGCGAAAGATAATAATTGAACGCCGCAGACAAACCGCAGTTTATCTTTACTATATCTGGTATTGTATTTACTACAAAGAATATAAACGATCATTTTCAGTAAGCAGGTCTTTAGACACTCTTTTGTATTGTACCACCTAATGATATTTCATTAGATAATAAAGTTGCAGTTGCACTTGCTACACTTTACAACAATTGCAAGTATGTACGTACGTACGTACGTACATACATTAACCGTGATATCTCATGACGAAGAAACAAACATTTCTTCCACGATAATGCTGCGGTAATTAACGTTAATTAATTCAATTCCCGATATGCATTTCTTGTATTACTTAATAGCGTGATGAAGTTGTCATTATAATAGATGTGATATCACGTATCTGACCTATAATTAACGTTTAAAAATTGGTACACTATAAATAAGATTATAAAAATATGTTTCGGTACTCTTCGTTTATGATTCTTTTAATTAGAGGTTTTTCTTTTTTGAAAAAGTTTCAAAGTTTAATTTCTAAGATTTATTTGACGCGTTTATCATTTTAACGATTAAATATGACGACAGTTTTAAAGAAAAAAACCGAGCTTCCAAATGTTATTTTTGTTAAGCTTCATAAAGAAGATTTATGGAAAAAAACAGAACTTAAAGTAGAAGGTCAGTGTGTTGCCCAAATTTCATAGCTTAAGTGGTGGGCGTGGTTTCTTTTTCAAATATTTCAGATTATTTCAAGTATATTATCCGTAGTCACGGAACCACCTAAACAAACTGTTTCACCTGAGACCATACTTGGCGACGCGTCCACTGTAACCCAAGAAACCGATTTAATGAATTTTGACGATGAAGTCATCAATAACAATATTGTCACGCCAAATACAAAAATTAATGTTGAGCCTTCGCCAAGTATAATCGATATTCTTTTGTGTGATCCCACTTTTGGTTCTAATAATTCAAAGAATAATGTGACACGAACCCTGAGAATACATGAACATGGAAAAAAAGCACTTGTGGAGAAATCATCTGAGAAAGAAAGGGTTAAACAATCTACCGTAATTGAAGCTAAATCCCATGTGGGACAAGGTAAATTCATGGATGATAATGGTGCACAAGTACGAACCGATTATCCTCGTGCTACCACCGATACAACCATAAAAAAAGATGTTCGAGATGAAATCTTTCCTGTGAAATCTACAAAACTAGTTAATTATACAACGAAACCGGATTCAAATGTTAAGCCGAGAAAAAGAAAAGTTTACACTTTTACGGAATTGATTTTATATAAATATTCTCCGCTTACAAAAGAAACCAGATGTGACTTTAGTCCCGAAGCTACAGAATGTAATGTATTGTTAGACAACAAACATAACACGGAAAACGAATCAAATCGTTTGCCAGGTCGTCGTCGAAACAGCGATCACAATGGCCGTATATATGGTGAAAATAATCTTTACATGGCACCTGCCATCAGAAAGATTTACGAGTTACCACCTGATATATCATTTATTAACGAATTGATAGTCGCACAAAATCGATGGATAGCTTTGGTGCTTGAGAAAGAACTACAAAAAGCAAGATGTTCCCTCGGAAAGTGTATGAATACGACATCTCATATTCAAGCAAAGGATTCGAGTGATGAAAATCGTGTAACACAAGATCTCCATGATTATGAGACTACAAGACCACGAAAGGCTGTACGATTCCTAGAAATCAATGAAAATGATTGATAACATTAATATTTTGGTGATGTTCTGTTGTCATTGAGGATTGTCATTGTGATTTTAAAAATTCTTTTGTACTGTGGCTTTTATTAAATCAAACTTTAATATTTGTCTATCTTTGCTTTCTTGTTGACTCGGAACGCTTATCGTTTTGTAAAAGCTTGTATTATAATAAAAAAAAAAAAAAAAAAGGAAATCTAAAAGTCGTCAAACTTAGATCTTGTTTAGCATGATGCATAATTTCTGCGGCTTTTTCTAAACTTAGCATTGTACATTGTTTGTACACTTTATATGTATACATTTAATTGTTCATATGATATTTATTTTCGGCTAGGAAGATCGTTTATATCGAAATTGTAATACATCGTGATCTATATTGCAACCGTGAGTCAGAATTAATAAACTTGCTGAAATCAAGGCAGATTAATTTTTATCCGTGTGATTGATTGATGACACACTCTATGTCACACCACTCCGGTGTGGATCTATAATCCTTTAGGCCCGGTTCGGATTTTAAATATTTTAAGCCTGCTCGCTTTATATATATAAAAAGGTTTACTTTATATATACCTAATATACATGATATCGATATATAGTATTTACTTTTGCCAATAGAGTAAGTCTATGGCATATAAGGCTATATATAGATACAGTATACAGTATATATATAGTTTAAATAAAGAAAGTTTGCTGCCGTCAATAGAAATAAGGCAAATTGATATTTTAAAAAAATTTAAAGCCTTAACTTTCACAGCTCATATCTCGATGAATTTTAAAGTCAAATGAAAGCTTAGATCTTAAGCTTTATTTTGAATATAAATTTATTAAGATAGTTTTAAACTTCATCGAGATATGAGCTGTGAAAGTTAAGGCTTTAAATTTTTTTAAAATGTTAATTTGCCTTATTTTTATTGACGGCAGCCCATATAATTAGCATATATAGTCAACTCCCTCTAAATACATTGTATTGAAACCAGACTTTTAGCAATATGCATTAAAAGAACAATTAAGAAAAATACATTTATAGAGATTAAATATATATATAGATCTCAAATTTAAACCTGCATTTAGAAAGAAAATGCATTTAGAGAACATGTATTTAGAGAGAGTTGATTGTATATATTAATTGATAATTTTCTAGTAAACTGAAGAATTATTATAGTAAAATGCAACTCAGTTTTATATATAAATCTCTTAAAACGGAAATGTGTCATTTATCTAAGAAAAACTTTTTTTTTTTATTAAGTAAATCACTTTTGGGCTTTAACAAAAGTTGTAAAGCTTATCAAGACACATCTAATGATAGTAAGAACATTAAAATTGGCTTGATAGTTCTTAAAAAATTTTAAAAACATTTCATCAACTATATAAAATCTTCTTTAAAAAAATTAAATTCTTTAAAGAAATTTTATATATTAGTGAAATGTTTTTTAAAGATTTCTTAAAAACTATCAAGCCAATTTTAACATTTTTACTACTATTAGATGTGTCTTGATGAGCTTTACAACTTTTGTTAGAAGCCTAAAAATGATTTACTTAATAAGAAAAAAGTTTTCCTTGAACAAATACTAAATTTTTTTAAAAAATCTCTACATTTCTGTCTATATAATTTACTTATACCTGCATTATAATGCAGTGTTGTCACTCAGACAACTTGAACAGCATTTAGACAGAGTTTATCAGAGTTTAACACTGAATAACTTTGAATAATATATTATAACCCACCTTTAATTATTGTCGGGGATGATGCTGAAACAAGATGATGCTAAAACATGAGATCTCAATTTAAAAATATAAACCTTACTGAAATCTACCTATATTTTTTTATTATAAACACTAGCTCTAAACCCTAACTTAACTACAAAAAAAAAAGCCAAAAAAAATATCCTCAAAAACTTTAAAATTTTATATTAAAATAAGTCAATGTTTCAGCATCATCTTGTTTCAGCATCATCCCTGACAATTATTAATTAAAGTTGTTTAGAATTATTTTTTGCATATATGTATGCATTTTTGAACAGTCTGCCGAACACTTTAAAAGGCTCAAATATCATAAATATATATAGTATATCTGTTATATAATACTACAAATAAGTATAGTCAACTTTTTCTAAATACATTGCATTAGGACTAGACTTTTTTTTTTGTATTTAAGGTTAGCCTCTTCAGCTTATTACTTTTATTAGATTATAGAATCATATGGTGTTCTTTTCAAGAAGCTTCAGACAAGTACATTCTGACGAGAGCACATTTTAGTCATATCTGTATTTTTTGAGTGTCTAATTTAAGTAGTCTGCCTATTACTAGGTTCTATACTAGATGCTGTACCTATAACTCACCTATTATTTGAATTATTTAATTAAAGCCTCTGATCTGAGTTTCCTATACTAATCTATCTAACCTCACCTAGAACCTGTAGTACATTAGTCAGTCTAAGTTCTAGAATTATTCACGAACTACCTATAGGACTACCAGCTTGGTTAACCGATTTATCCTCAAGGTCATTACCTGCTAAAGCAGTCTAGTACCCACTATTACTATATTACCTAGTTTTTTTCAGATAAGTTTTACCAGATAGGTTCTATATCTTTATAAGCAGACTACACTGCCAATTCTTTCTGCAGTTAAGTTCACTAGTTAGGTTCTAAACCTTTATAAGCAGGCTACACTATATATATAACCGAAACCCCTGAAATTTCGAACCTAGTTTTGGTTTCAGATTTTATTAATTTTCGATCCAGAATGATCATTTCCAAAATTGAAACCTTTGGTCTAAAGGCTAACTAAAGTTGAATCTAAATAAAGCCTTTATACAAAGATTGAAATCTAAACGAAGCATTGTATAATAGTTGAATTTCTTAAAAAAGATATTAATAAAATAAAATTAAATGTTTTAAAATAAAAGTTGTGTTTAAAATTTTGTTTTCTTTTAAATAAAATATGACATCAAACAAAAAATCCTTAGTTAAGAAAAATAAAGGTGGATGTCCTTCTAGTGAGATATGAAATTGATTTGTAAGAGAAGATGAAACATCTAAAAAAGGTTGTTATTCCGCAACGTACTCTTTTTGTAATAAACACTGGGCTTTTGCTAAGTCAAATAAACTCAAAATGCACTTTGCATATGAATGTCAAAAGGTCGATTCAGATACTAGAGTTAAAGTTTTAGTATTATTAACAAATGAATGTATTAATTCAGATAATGATACAGCCTCAACATCAACTACAGCAAGTAAAAAATAAAAATTGGAAAAAAATAGTATTAATATTAATAGTAAACATGAAAATGTTTCTATATTATTAAATAAAGAAAACCAAATTAACAAAATATTACTAAAAATGGTTATGTGTTGTAATTTACCTTTTGCTCTCGTTAAACATCTATTTTTTTAAGAATATACCAAAGCTCTATATACTACCTATTTTATTCCAAGCCATTGGGTTTTGTCCAATACTCTTTTAGACCAAGAGCTTGCTTAAATAACCATAAACATTAGACGTTTTCTCGATAAAGAAACTAATTTTACAATTGCATTTGATGGATAGACCAATTCTACAGATAGTATTATATATTAATTAATCAACTACCATTTAGTTAATAACTAGTTGCAACTAATCGATTAATCGATTAGTTGCAATTAAAAAATATAATCAGAACAAACATTTTTATTATATAGTTATAAGACAATTGATAATTTAAAGGTATTTAGTAAAGTAATACTATACGGCAGTACAAATTTGAACGGATATACGAAAATTATAACAAATTTTGATCGTATATATATACGTACGGTTAATATAGACTTGCAAGTTTCAATTTTTATAAATAGCTCTTATTGATGGTTAGAGTTAGGATGAGCACTAGTATTGTCTTTTTTTTATATTAAGATTATAAGAAAAGTAATTTGAGTTTTACACCTTTTTTCTTTTACAAACTATATGTACTATCATAATTTCTATATGTCCGTCCTAATTTACATTTCCATACCATACTACTTTACTATATACCTATAATTTAATAATATCCAGATACAAATTTTTATAATAAGCACAGTTTCTATTAACTAGTCGCAACTAATTAACTAATTGTTTAATTGATTAGTTGATTAGTTGATATTTAAAAAAAATTAATCAATTAGTTGTCAACTAATCAACTGATTGATTTTTCAAATTTGATATTTGTAGATCAATCTATTTATAATTACTGTATAATCACTGAAGAGCGTAAAGAATTTCTTTGGACTTCAAAAAATTATTTTGGTGTATCTCATCATACTGGTGCATTCCTTGGTGAAGAGATTATTAAGATCGTTAAAAAAATTGGTCCTGAAAAAATAGCTGCGATTGTATCTGATAATGCAGCAAATACCCATGTTGTACAAAGAGTACTTTGTAAGAAATATCCTTATATTTTAGATATTAGATGTGTAGCACATTGTATTAATTTAATTACAAAAGATTTGTGTAAACATACCTTTGTAATAAGCATAATTCAGAAGTTTGGCATTGTTTATAAATATTTTACAAAATCACATGCCATATACTAATATTTAAAAAACGCGATTAAAATCTTAAAGATTAAGGGTAGTGACTTAAGGGTAGGGTGAATATAGATCATTTTTAATAGTCATCATATGGTATTTATATGAAATCATGTGATTGCCTAATCAGAATCGTAAAAACAACAAATTTGGCCAATCAGGATTGGTAATTTTTGTGCGATCTAAGAAAATTTAGTGCCATCTAAGGAATTTTATTAATATACAAAGTGAATTTTTTTTAAAAGATACAGTATTTATAATTTTGCTGTTATAAATAAGGTAGTTGTGCAATGCAGTTGCGCTAAAATCAGGAATAGAAGAATTCTGATAAATTGTTTATTCACCAACTCATCGAATAGTTTAGGTTTTTATTATATAACCATAGAAGTTTAGTAGACAACAAAATGTAATTCAA